TTTTGAGTAATTTATAATTTGAAACGATGTCAACATATGTGGATTTTGATGCATATTTATTTTTTCGAAATGATAAATAATTTCCCTTTTCACTGTTCCATTATTATTAAGTTCTTTGAGTTGCACCAATCAACAAATTCATTGTTTTATGTTGTAATATTCATTACGAACAAAATTGACTTATTACAATTTTGTCTGCGTGGACCTATTTGTGAAAATAACAAAACGTTGGAAGAACTACTGATATGCCTGTCTCTTATACACATCTAGATGTGTATAAGAGACAGGTATATAGTAATGAGAATTAAAACGCAAAATATTGCAAATGCATTTTGCACCCGAGTTTTTTAATTATATAAATACTTTTCGTTACTTGTATAATCAAAGCCATTGCTAACTACCTCCACTGTAATGAATATTTCTCTCAAGTTACAGCCCACCCCAACCAATTAAATACAACTAGAATTGAAATCATAAACTCTAAATCTATGTCACTTTCATTCTTTTACACCTTTCGTTCAGACTGGGTGGACGAAAGCTTGTGTACCAATAATACTCTACCAAGTTCTGATTCTCTTGATCATTAATCTACTCTAGGTTAACATCGTCACCATTTATTATTTACACAATTAATTATTAAGAAGACTAACAAAACAACAATTAATACAAAGAACAGGAAAATGTCATTGACATTTGAATTATTTTAAAAAAAGGTTAACACTGGCGCCTGGTTTCCATACAATCTCTACACAGTACTCTCTGATTCAACTGACCAATCAGCGTCGCCAAAGCAGTCGACGGATAGCTTAATCGATAATTAGGGAAATTTCTTCTTATAATCAATTTTCTTAAAATCCAGAACGGACCCTTTTCAATTGTTATAGAAATTTTGTTCCAACATTTTTGCTACAGCGATTTTCAATAAGCCATTCATTACAGAGTAACTTTAAATGTGAGTGGGCATATTTCGGGCACCATGCTGGTCAAAACCATTTCAATATCATTACACAAGCGGGATGGTGCAATACCAGAATCATGGTATATGGGTGTACATATCTTTTAGAATTGCCTTAAAACAAACTTATTTGGAATGAAGATAAGCTATTGGTATAAATTATTTTCTCAAATTCCAAATGTAAAAGTTGAGTTCAATATATATAATTATTTGGATTAAAAAAAAATATTTACACCAATTTAGAACGTGTTAAGTGTTTCAGCTTCGACTATTATTTCACGTTCCATAAGCATTAATACATTTTTCTTTTGTGTGTACAGTTAGTATTTTTCTGTTTTCTAGTTCCAATATTAGACTCCAGCGCCGGTGACAAGCCAGTTTTGTCACCGGCAAGAACATCAATGTTTGTGTGACTAGTAAGTCCATTACCCAAGAGCAATCGAAAGATTATGATTGGTTTTTTCAGCTCATGTGACGTGGTTACTGGAATACAGTTCAGCATAATTAACGCTTCCGTGTCGTTCCCACCACGACGACACGACATCTAGCAGTTGAATGAAGCCGTCCACTGATAGTTCTTTAAAGAAAATGGTTAATAGTTTTTGTTAAGGTACACCCGGAAAAATAGGGGGAAAAAAGCAGGTACAATCCCCAAGGGGGGAAAATGTGTATGACTAGGGTCTGACGAGTGAGGTCTAAGGTCATACATTTTAGCACATATTTCCCGTTCTGAGGGACTCCTTATAAGGCCTCCGCTTACAATATTATTTCGAGTAATTTATAATTTGAAACGATGTCAACATATGTGGATTTTGATGCATATTTATTTTTTCGAAATGATAAATAATTTCCTTTTTCACTGTTCCATTATTATTAAGTTCTTTGAGTTGCACCAATCAACAAATTCATTGTTTTATGTTGTAATATTCATTACGAACAAAATTGACTTATTACAATTTTGTCTGCGTGGACCTATTTATGAAAATAACAAAACGTTGGAAAAACTACTGATATGCAAAGGTGTGCTGTGCGTGCCTTTTAGTAAGACTGAACCGTATTTACCGTTACATTAACAGACGTTTTTTAAAAAATTGCTTAGTTAATCGAAACGAGGGAATCTTGATATTTTTTGTCTGAATATATCATTAGCTGAGACTTTTTTTAAATTATATAATAATTAATTTATGCAAGTCTAGTACAAATTATTATTTCTTCTGTTTGATACTAATTTTAACTAACCTACTTAGATGAATGATAACATTCATAAAAGTATTGTTATTATTATTTCATATTATTATAGGATTATATTTTTGCAATATTGAATACACTTATTATTATAAGCGTATTTGCAGTTCGTTTGGATTTACTACATCGAGTGGCTTTTGAACAGCTCTATGGTGAAGATGTTTGCCTTCCAATCCCTGGGTCCTTGTATCAATTCCTGTCAGTGTTAATGGATTGTTCTCACTCCCTAAACCTTATATTGAGATTTTAGTTTATAAAAAGCATTATGTGTGTATGTCTACCTACAAGAAGGAGAGTGGTATAATTCACTATTGACAATCCTTGGTACATGTGTTGTGTGCCTAGATAAATCACAAAAAAAAAAAAAAATAAAATAAATAAATAATAACAACATCTAAGACAATCATTTATTTGTTGAGTTTACCTCCATGCAGACACTTGGGTGTGGTTCTGATATTCCTTGTTGATCAAATTCTACTTCAATCCGATGCGTGAATTTAAGCTCTAGAGAAAAGATTAATTGAAAACGTAATGCAGAATATTTATAGAGGGTATAATTTTTAATATGTATTATGCATGCTTAGGAGTCATGCAAAATAAATAAATATTCATATAAAGATATAAATAAATATATGAATAAATATATAATTTATTAATAGTAGTAGTCCATGAAGATATAAATATGTGAGACTAATAATTTCACGACAGTCGACATTCAAGTAAAGAGAATGGCCGACATGATAATGTTTGAAACAGTGAATACTGTAATACCTTCTGTCAATGCGGTCAATGCCAGAGGAAGCTCAAGCAGTGACAAAGAATTAATGAAATCCGTCATATTTCCTTCGTTGATTTTACGTCTGTCTTCTAGATTAGTGATCATACTCCAACTGTCGGTATACATCTTACGAGGTGTATTATACAATCCGTCGATCTGCGCCACGTTAACTGTAGTCAAAGTCTTCCCCAATTTCATTAGTTTTTGTCTGTGTGCTGTGAAACTTGTTGAAATGGTTCCTTCTTTAACATCCGGGAATGATGGCAGTGTTTCCTGGATCTTCTTTTGAAGAGCAAAATGTCCAGTTATTCTGATGGTGTCATACAGTAGAGTAGGATCCTCTGCACTCAGCTTACCATGTACAACCAATTCATTCAGCAAGTCTATCGTATTATTTATTTCTGCTAGTTTCACATTGTCCACCTTTTCTCTGAACAACACTTTCAACATACTAAGACATCTGTTTTCATCGTACCAGTTTGAGACAACCATTTTAAGAGCATTGAAGTGCACGCCTGACATTTCTATAAAACAACATAAGAAATTATTACACTGCTCTGTATGCATTTATGTACATTTTTTCATACATACTAATTACCTACAGAATTGCCAAAATGAATTTAAACGGCGTCTCCCATAAACACAGTATTTGCCCACTTTAAATAAACAATGGAAACCAATAATTTCTTTCCCATCTTTTTTTTTTTTTCATTTGAAATATGAATTTTAAGGATTCTTGTTATTATACAGTACATTTTACATAAAACAATAAGTTTGGGTAAGAATAACCGTACATTTTACATAAAACAACAAGTTTGGGTAAGAATAACATTGTTATTATACAGTACATTTTACATAAAACAGTAAGTTTGGGTAAGAATAACATTTTACTAATAATAATTAACAATATTACAATCATATAAGCCACGTATTACAATGTTGCCCATAATTTTACAATTACAACATCAACAGATTTACCTGGCAATCGCTCTCCACGTGTGGATTCTGTTAACACAGGCCTACGAAGTTGATAAGTAGACAAGAATTTATCTTGGACTTCTACAAGTATATAAATAATATGCATTTCACATAGATTGTTACTCATTTATTTAAAAAATAAGTGATAATTTATTTAGACTTAGATGTAATTTTTATTTGTTTTTTCAATATATACAGATGAATAACAGGCAATTTAGACCTATGGTGTGATAAATTTAATCTCAAATTTATGAAGTTTAAAATGGAATGATGTGTAAACAGCAAAACAGACCTAACAACCGCTCGAAATGAATGACGTCTTGAACACCAGTCGGACAGCGAGAAACATCCAGCCAGCTATAGCTAGCATCAACAACACAAATGCACAATGATCGGTGCTTACAGTTTAATAAATTAAGTAATTTTAATGATGGTCAGATAGGCCCTCATAATTTTTGTTTGGTTAATGTTGTTTCAATGTAAATACCCCAACAGGATACATTTTTTTACCTCTTTAGGCTTATCTTTAGTAGCTTTCTGTTTCACTCTTTTTATTATTGTTTAGTTCTAAATATTATGCATAGCAATTGGGTTTCTATTTTTTTATATTGAATAAATTCAATGAAGAGATAAAATGAATAAAGATAGGCCTATTGTATAACAAACTGACACTAAATAGAGAATAAATGAGATATTTTTGTAACAAAAACCAACCTTCTTGGAAAAAGACCTTATAACGAGATGTGTTCATTTTATACTTTCCACATGAAACCCAATCTTTTTCTAAACATTTGTCAAGATTATGTAAATGAGGTTGCTGCGTTGGTGGACATACGCTGCACAAGACGCGTAACTCGTAACCAATCCCTACTGTTGTAACATATACAGTCTTCAGTTGATGCTTAAGGTAGTTTAATACCTACATATTAAATTAGGAAAAATATTATTGTCTGTAAATCATGTAGAGTATACATTTTGCATTGTACTCTACGAGTAGCACGGTGGGCAGTGAAACTGTGAAGTATTTCTCACATGACAAATACCATTGGTTCTCATTATATAACCGAATATGATAATAATAATAATAATAATAATAATAATAATAATAATAATAATAATAATAATAATAATTACAGGCATTATTCATGTTATCATCACCACCATCATCATCAACACCATCATCATTACCATATGAGAGTTTCCTGATGTTAACACATAGGCCTATCGAAATATCATCATTATCATTATTATTATTATCATCAATATCGTATGATATTTTGACGCAACCCCGCATAAAAAAATCATAATTATCATCATTATCATTATCAAAATTATTATCTCATTGTCACTATGACTATTTTTATTTGATATTATTATCGAATTATATTATTATAATAAAGAATACAATTATTATTACAAAAATTAGTATTCTAACAAAGATTAACAATTAAAATGTATGTACCTCCAGACACACACTCGGGTGTGGTTCTGATAGTTCACCATTTGCATCTTTATCAATCCGACGCGTTATTTCAAGCTACAAGAAAATACGTTTAAAAAAATTATAATAATAATAAAAATAATAATAATTAAACAAGAGTCTGAGCAGATGAAATTTATTATCTACAATAATAACACTGTAATATGATTATTAACAACAGCAATGGTAATATGCTTCCTATATTACTAATTTAAAATTCTAAAAAAATATATAATGAGATAACAACTACAAATCAACAATAGCAGTAATGGAAAATGACATTTATTATTATATTCACACAATAGATTGACGTACCTTCAATGCATGCATGTTCTTGATTTTGACGGCTCCCAGACTCACTAAGTGATCATCGAAGTCAAAGTCACTACGATTCCGAAACAATTTTGAATAATCGCTTCTACCTTTCTCCTTCATTAGGTCTACAAAGGCAACGACTAATACACTGTAGACAGCATCAGGGAGGAAGTCCGTTGGAGTCACGTAGATTGATACCATCTCCTTGTTGTCTTTCTCAACTTCCATGTTCTTGTCCTTAACGATACTCATTAGACAAGGGACGATGAATGTTCGATCATTTTCTTCAGATTCCTTAATTAAATGAGTTATAAAATGTACACATTATATA